AGAGAAGAATCGTAAGCTGTAAGAAAAGTTATAGAAATGAATGTTGAAGGAAGAAGAGATAGAGGAAGACCAAAAAAGAGACGGAGGGATGCAATTGAATGCGATTTGAGGACAGCTGATGTGAGAGTAGAAGATGTGGGAGATCGTGTCAAGTGGAAGCTTAGGATAAGGGTGCCCGACCCCAAGTAGTTGGGATTAAGGCAAAGAAAAAGAAAAAGATTACCAGAAATTCCGGTGGAAATTGACATAATATGATTGTTGTTTGGGAATGCACAATTTAGCGTTTAGTTGGGTTTAAATAATATAGCGTCAAATCAATTACCTACTCTATCGGTTGTATCTTAATATACACTACACTTTAATGATACAATAAATAAATAAACTCACACATACACACATATGCATTTATAACATTNAGTTAACAAAGTTATAAGTTTTATACACTGGACTACAAGGAACTTCCATCAGAAACAAAAATATACTATTCTAAATCAACTTTTCGCGATGTTTTAAAATGTGCAATTAGACTTTTTCTATAACTTCTAAGTTTTAATATTATTAAAAAATAGAATATACATATAAATAAAGCTAAAAATAATTAAGCACAAACAAAATTGTTTTAAATTAATGCTGGTTTTGATTATTAATATGTTAAAAATAAGGAAAATGACATATTTAACCTATTTTTTTAATCGTTTAAAGTTGATTGTTGTAAATGCTTATAATAAAAAAAAAATAATTTATTTTACCATAACTTTTAGCTCAATTGGCAAGTTTGACATTGACATCATTAAATAGAAAATTTTATGACAATTAAAAAAATTGTATCGTTAAGATCAATATGCAGTCAGAAAATTTTACAATTACTATTTATAGTATATTTATCAGAGTAACAAATATTTTTTTGCATTTTTATGGTAATAGATAACTTAAATAGAAGTAATAGTAATAATTTCCTAGTAACTTTTGTTCTTTGAAAAGATTCTACAATTGAAATATTGAGAACTTAATTAATTTTAATGATTTACTTTAACTAAATGTACCAATCAAAACAAAGTTGTTAAAAAGATTTACTCAATTGAGTTTATTATAAAATTTGATTATATTTGTAAAAATCAATTGTTAATTCAGGAGAAAAAACAATCATTTTTTTTAGAAATGATTTATATAGCAACACGTTAGAAAAAAATTTGAATATTATAGTCTAATAGTAGTACACATAAATAGAGTAAAAAAATTATTAAATTGCAAAGTAAAATGATTTAATTTTGTAGTTGAAACCTATCATATCAAACTTCATTCGTTAATAAATATTTTGAAAACATTAGAAATTAATGATTTTAATTGTCTTTATGGAGACGATGTAATAACTAACTGTTTAATTGATAAATTAGAATTTTTTTTTCAATTTTTGAGAGTAATATCTTCAACTAGATACGAATTGTAGT